GGGGGGGGGGCGCAGGGGTGCCCCAGCCTCACCCACAACCCTGACCCCAGCGGGCCCCTCCTAGTGAGACCAGCCGCCCGAGGGGGTGGAGGGCTGGCGCGAGGAGGCCGAGGTCTCACCCACAGAGGCTGGGACGTTCCCCCTGGGTCCCCGGCCCTGGCCATCCCCGGGCCCCAGAACCAGCGCCGCCCACCCACCTTCTGGATGTAGCCCCCGAAGTGCATCATGTTGGAAAGGGCCTTCTTCTTCCGGGCCTCGTCTTCTGCCCGCCTCCGGCTCTCCTCTTCCTCTCGCCGGGCTCGTTCCTCCTGGCGGGGGGCGCGGCAGGTCAGGGGCCGGGGCCAGACCCTGGTTCTGGGCTTTATGGGTGGACCAACCGCTTCCTCTCCACGCGGCTGGAAGTTTCCAAGGTCCCCGCACAGGGCCTGCCCCTCGGGGGCTGTGGGGCCTCTGACGTTCGAGTGAGTGAGCCCTGGCCCCGGAGCTGAGGCTCATCACCCCTCGGCCCAGGAACAGGGCAGGGGGGCCGTCACCTGGCAGGTGGCCCCGGCTGGGGAAGGGACATGCGGGGAGTCCCTTAAAATACTGAGCTCACGCAGACCACGGTTCTGCCTCCCAGCTCTCCTGCTTGTTGCTCTTGACGGAGTCAGTGTCTGTGAGTAGAGGGGCTGGGGCCGCGGGAGCTGGAGCTGGGGGGCTCCCTGGGCGGGCGAGGGGGGTCACTCACTGCCAGCCGGGCCTGCCGCTCTTTCTCCCGCTCGCTGCGGATGCGCTGCTGCTCGGCCCGCTCCGCCCGCCGCTTCTCCTGGGGAGGGCGGGTCATCAGAGGACCGACTGGGGAGAGCCGGGCACAGGAGCCCACCGGGGACGCCCCTCCTGAGCCTGAGGCTTGGCGTGGGAGGGCTGCGGACAGAGGGGGTGTCAGGGGGCAGCTGGGTGGGACGCGGGACACCTACGATCCTGTCCTTGAGTGAGATGAGCTCCTCTTCCTCTTTCTTGCGGTTCTCAAAATGAGCCTCGATCAGCGTCTGCAGCTCGTTCAGGTCCTTCTCCATGCGCTTCCGGTGGATGTCCTGCGGGGGACACGGGCTCCAGGGGGGGGCACATGCCTGGGGCCCAGCCTGGCCGGTGCCAAACGCCATCCCGTGCCACCTTCTCCCAGCCCACAGGTCCTGAGGTCTCCCCCTCTCATCGGGGGCCCTCGGGACGGCCCCAGCCCAGGCCTGCCCTCCCCACAGCCCCCGCTCACGTCGAAGTCCACTCTCTCTCCGTCAGGGATCTTGGGCGGCACCAGGTTGGGCATGAACGGCCTGTTGGAGGGAAGTAGGAGCTGAGCACCAGCCTGTCCTGGGCCCGGGCGCTGGGGTGCCTGGTGCAGGCAGGGCCCCCGTTTCCTGCAGAGCTCGGTCACCACTGGGGTGTCTGGGCTGGGCTGGTCACAGTCTGCCCCCCTGAACCAGGAAGTGTGTCCCCCCAGTGCCCACCGTGCCACCCACCCCTGCTGGCCCTCTGCTCCCAGGCCTTGCCACAGGTATGTCCTGCTCACCTGGGCTTGGGTTTGGACTCCTCCACGGGGCCATCTGCAGAGGAGAGAAGCACACAGCCACGGGGTCAGGAGGCCCGGGCCTGGTCCCAGCTCTGTCCCGATGGGCTGGGTTACTATGGGCCTCTACTTCCCCATCTGCACAGTAAGTCCCTTCCAGCCCTGAACTCCCAGTTCCAGCAGCACCCTCGAGAATTAAGGCCCAGGGCTGCAAACCCATTCGCCCTCTCGTAGCGACTCCCAGGGTGCAGTCTCCCTGGACTTCCCGGGGGCAGGATTCTAATCCTGGCTGGCTGCCCCTCCCCCCAGAGGTGTGACTGTGGCCACAGAAGTGACCGCCACGTGGACCCACTATGCCTTGAGATTTTACCCTACGGACCCCGCACCCTGTGAGTGATTCTGCCTGAGCTCCCAGAACCTCATGTGTGGATATGACGGCTGGGAGCTCTGCCCAGAATGGGGACCTGGACACCGGTCACCTCCCCCACGGGGGAGCCCAGGGCAGCTGCTCTGGAATGAGGAGGGACAGAGGCGTGGAGCCAAATGTCACGAACCTACACAGTGACCAAGTCTGTCCTGACCCGCAAGCCCTTCTCCCCTATCTCCCTGTGAGCCGTCTCCCCCAGGGCCTCCAGGAGGGTCCCCTCAACACCCCAAACCTCTCCCCTGGCACCCAAGGGTCACCTTCAGCCTCTTTAACTTCTTCTTCTTGTCTGTTGTCTAAACAAAAGGTGAGAAATTAATACAGTCCTGGTTCTAAGCTCAGGTCCCCCCTCCAGGAGCCCCCCATAGACAGGGCATGACTCAGTGCACCTGCTGGTTTCTGGGGTCACGGAGCTGTCGGTTCACACACACGCACACACGTGCAAACACGCATGCACACACGCACACATGCACACAGCCACACATGCACACACATGTGGGCCCTGGGCCTGGACCCCGCCCAACACAGGAATGGCTGTGGGGCTCTGCTCCCCGCCTGCATGCGTCACAGCCCCGCACCCTCCCCCGGAGCCCCACCGTCTGCGGTGGTCGCCTCAGCCTCAGCCTCAGCCTCAGCCTCTTCTCCTGCTGTCACCTCGTCCGCTGCCTCTTCCTGCTCTGCAGAAGTGACAGACACAGTGACAGAGTGACAGACGCAGTGAACACCCAGGCCCCGCCCCCGCCCCCGCTCCCGGCAGCTCCCAGGACAAGAGGGGTGGGCATGAAGCAGAGTCATGGAGACCTGCCCTCCACCTGGACGCCATGGGGGCTGGACGTCCGGGGCGGGAGCATTTAAAGCTTCCCATGGTTAAAAACATAGGGAAGAAAAATAATAATTCATTGGAAAACGTGGTGATTCTGTTTGAACAGGGGGGTGGTGGACAGTAGAGACAGGTTTAACCCTGCCGTGAACCTGAGCTACCAAGGTCGGGGCTGGTCCCCCGTAGGAGCCACAGGTGTGGAAGGAGCTTTGCTCCGCTGAGAGGGACAAAGACAGACAGACAGCTCCCCTGGGCTCCCGGGAACCCTGGGCTCCTGGGGCCCCTCCCACCTCCCACCATCAGCCCAAGCTCCGTACCTTCCTCAGCCTCTTCTGCTCCGAGGTCACAGCCGCAAGAGAGAGACAAGAGGTGGGTCAGTTTCCAACCAGGCCCCCTTCACCCAGATGAGTGTGCAGGTGGGTGCTTACCTTCCTGCTCCCTGCGGGCAAGAGACGACGGTCAGGAATGTGTGCACTCACACTGCCACACACACACACACACTGCCACACACACACACACTCACACTGCCACACACACACTGCCACACTCACACTGCCACACACACACACACAGCCACACACACTCACACTGCCACTCACACTGCCACACACACACACACTGCCACACACACACTGCCACTCACACTGCCACACACACACACACTGCCACACACACTGCCACACACACACACACTGCCACACACACTCACACTGCCACTCACACTGCCACACACACACACACTGCCACACACACTGCCACACACACACACACTGCCACACACACACACACTGCCACACACACACTCACACTGCCACACACTGCCANACTGCCACACACACACACACTCACACTGCCACACACACTCACACTGCCACACACTGCCACACACACTGCCACACACACACTGCCACACACACACACTCACACTGCCACACACACACACTGCCACACACACACATACACACACTCACATACACNCACACACACACACACTCACACTGCCACACACACACTGCCACACACACACTCACATACACACACTCACACACTCACACCACACTCACACACACTCATACACACACACTGCCACACTCACACACACACACTCATACACACACACACCCCCCACCCCCATCCTCCTGCTCCCAGGCAGCTCCAGGGGCTGGAGGGAGGGGACAGGTGCTCCCACACTCACCCCTCGTACTCCTCCACCGCCTCTTCTGTGTCAGACATGGTCTCTCCCTCCCTCCAGAAAGAGAAAAACGTCAGTGCGGGTGGGAAGGGGCCCGTCTTCCTCAGCTCAGCCCCCTTGTCAGTCCTGGAACCGGCATGGCTAAGACTGTGGCTGTAACAGTGTCCGCATCCTAATTGCAACTTGCAACATAGTTGCACAGATGTTACCACTGGGGGAAACCGGCAAAGTGCACAATGAAGCTGCCTTTTTTTTACAAATGCTGTGTCCTCAGAATGAGGGGCCCGGAGAAGAACCCTGGGGTCAGGTGGGGGGGGGGTCTGTGGCTGACAAGCACTGCTGGGTTCCCGGGGAGCAGCTGGAACTGGAAGCTGAGAACTGAGGCTGCTCCCGGAGCAGGGGAGGAGTTTGTCACCTCCGGGAGGGGTCATGTGCGGCCAGTCAAGGGCATGAGGTCTCTGGTGTCCTCTCCTGCCCTGCCTCCCACCAGCTCAGAGCCACTGGCCCTGGGGTGCAGAGGAGGAGGGAGCAGCCTGGAGCCTTCTCCCTGTTCCTGGGAGCACCACCCAGCTCCCCAAAATAGCATGCCAGCCACCAGAGGGCGGGGGAGGAAAGTCAGGGCCCCAGTTGCCTAGGCCTGGAATGTGTTTGAAATTCCTGACACTCCAGGCAACCCCTTCCCCAAATATTTTCTTCACCTGCTCAGAAGCTAAAAATCAAGGAACTCTCTTTCTGCAGGCATGTTGGGCGGGAAGAGCTAGATTCAGGGCTAACCTCTAACCTAGCGAGCTGAGCTCACAACCCTGAAGGGACCTCCCAGCCCACATCTCTGGGAGGGGAGGAGGCTGGGTCTGGAAACAGGTGAACTTCATCTGCTGGACTGTGGCCCCTCTCAGGGCTTCTAGGGCAGTCTCTGCGTCCTGGAGAGAGTTTGACCCCCTGGACTGCTCCGACTGGTGTGGCCACAATCTCACTCGACTCTCAGGGGACCAAGAAGGACCTGCCTGGGAAGCTTCAGGGGAACCTCAGCCTGCAGGGGGACACCGAGCCATCTAGGGGAGTCCCCGTTGTTAGAGCTTCATGGTATTTAGGGCAGGCAGGGGCCTGATGAGGATCCTGTCCTTTCTGCCAATGAAGAAACTGAGGCCCAGGGATGGGATTAGTTACCCAAAGCACCCCAAGTAAAACGTCTTTAGC